AGGGGAACCATGGCATCCAGAGACCTCCTGCCAAGCTCTGCTAGTCTTTTACGTGGTTTCAATCCCATGGTTTTAAAACTTTGGGACTGTTTCCCTCTTAAGTTTGTACAGGCATGCCTACACTAGTTCGTTAGTTCAGGTCACGAGGGTACTTTAAAGATCATCCTCACTAACAGTGCTTTTGTTTACACGGCCAAGTAGGCTGGGAGTACACAAATGAATTCTTTTTGGATGAAACCACACTGGGAAGCTCAGAGTGCACCCAACAAGCTCCAACAATTAGGAGGCGCTCAGTCCGGAGGGCCAGAAAGGAGCCAGGCTGAAGGAAACTAAAAACCACGCAGACTGGGGACATCAGGTCCTCGGCACCAACCATCTTGCTCTACAAAAGCAGTTTGATGGGGCTGCTCTCCTCACTCGGGAGCCTGTGTTGCCAAGCATCCACTTCAATCGTTTATCATGGTTACTTCATTGAGCCTCTAGAGGCTTGGGTTTCTTCAATATTCGTTAGCATTAGCATGACTCTACTTCAGCCCAAACAAACTTCTTCCACACATCCCAATTTTCTTGATTTCTTACAGCTTTTCCTTACGGTCTTTTCTTCCCTTTACTGGGAGCTGTTAGGCAAACTAAATTTGGTCCAGTAACTATCTTGCTAGGCCTACAATCTACTTCCTCGTCTCCAAAGACAAAGTTGTTTTTAAAAAGACTGCCTAACATGAAGTTTCTAAATTTACACCTCTTCTACTAAACAAGTTAATCTGATCCTCAAAGGTATGCCCAGATTCACAGAGGAGTTACTTCACACTCCCTTGTGAGTTGGTGCCCGAGTAATATGATTGTAATACGATTAAGTTCATCTTCTAATAAACTATTTGTAAAACATGAGATCATTTAATGGTAGACAAGAGACGTTAACAGCCTAGCTTTCATTTTAAGGATTGATTTTGAAAAAGGGTAGTGGGAGTAGGTTTCATGCTATCATTAGAAAAGTGGAAAAAGTAAACGTGGCTGATTCGCAGAGCGAGATCCTGACATCCACTGAAAGAGAACAGTACATTATCACATACGCACTGTACTTCTGAGAACAAGAACTTCATATGGCTTGAAATATTCAGCCAATTAAGTAGCAATCCAACTGACTGAGCGCTGGTAAATTGATCATAAAGTGCTGGTTCACACCAACACAGATGCTTTCACAATGTAGCTCACTGCGACAGGAGCTACAGAGCCTCAGAACTAAAGTATGGTTACAGAATATTACTAAAACACACTTGGCATTTGTTATAAGGCAGCATTATAAGTCCTGAATTTGATTAGCCAGTACACATAATATTGCTTTTGCATTGTAACAGTGCATTTTACACTTTAAGCAGTCAAGAATTGGCTGTGCAATAATAATAAAAAAAAGATCAGGGCATATCAAGTTAACCTGTCAAAGCAAACTTTCCTGACCTTTCTGAAAGAGGACAGTTGAAGCTTTTTCTCAGTAGGCCCCTTTTTGCTTTTTTTATTCCTATCTTCTGTGACCTTCTCTCATTATCAATTTTGTTTCTCAAAAAAACCCCAAACAAACAGGGAAGGGAGCTGCAAAGTTTCACTAGTACTCAGCAAAAGTTAGGAGCAGACCAGAAAGTTTAGGAGCAAGTAAGGATTTCTGTGAAACAGAAATAAGGCAGGCCAGAAAGCATTAAAGAAATGGCTGACAAACTAATCATAAGAAAAGTGACTTCCCAAACAACTTAAAAAAACCCCCACGCTTTTAAGACCAAAGTGTATTTCTTGGCATAAGAAATGTTTGCTTTTAAGGACAAGTATTTTGAATCAATGTTAATTTTATTTCTTATTACTAACAAAACATTATTTCCTTGTTAGAGCTTCTAAGAGATGAGCTGCTTTCTGAGACAGAGGGTTGCACAGCTGTTTTAAGGAAGCACTGAAATGCAACATTACCGTTCCACATATTACCACATCAGAATGCCTTCCTGTAGACAACTAAGCTGTGCAGCTGAGCTGTTATGTCTAGCCTCTCACAGCAACTTATCTTTCTTGCTACTGAATAAAAAACCCAAGCATATTATAGTTAGAGGGCTGAGATTAAAAGAAGGATCCATTACATTTACATCCTAACACTCAGAACTGCACTCGCTTAACAGAAAATTGCCCAGGAGTCTTCAGGCCATGCATACCTGTAAGCAGCTACAGGTTAAGCACAGCAAGTTCCCATGGGCTCACGTCCTGAGCACCAGAGAGGCAAGGCTTAGAAAGAATTAGGATTCACACGTTTACCTGATAGCCCCTACTTGGTAAAGAAGAGATGTAGAAGGCAACATTTTGTGTGTAAGAATGACTGCCTCACATTTGAGCTGAAAATGCTATAGTCTTAAGCATTACCAGGCATATTATAAGGAAATTCATGAATATGTAGGAGGGCAGCGTACTTGGTGCACAGAAGCAACAGCACGTCACGCTGTGTGGGGTGTAAAGACCAAACTCTCTCAGCGTTTCTTTCAGCCACTCTATTGCCTTTCAAGTTCCCACAACACATATACCTATAGTAACACGGCGAAAAAAAAAAAAAGGGAATATTCTGCAAGTCTCATTTAAACCTTCAAAGGAGCTTGTCTGCTTTGTTCTTCAGACGCAATGAACTCGTACAGGCAGACTGTCTTGGAGCATCCAGGTAGAACTCATTGCTCTTTAATTATTTTAACATCCTAAATGTAATGGGAGAACAGCATTGAAGACTGACAGCCACTGGGGCCCTCAGAAAACAGCTCCAAAGAAGCCTTTTTGCACAGATGCATGGGGCTTTTGTGCAATATATGATCCTTGTACCAAATTCAACATTATTAGGGGAACTCAAGGCTGTAGCAACTGTGTATGTTAGGGACCTACGCCTGTACACCACGGAGAGAGAAGTGAACATGCAGGTAACCCACAAATAGTATTATGTTCACATAATGATCACACATGTTCACAAAAAATGAGAAGTGAGAGACAAGTAATTGCTGCAAGAGTAAGGGCGGGGGGAAAAGGAGGGGGCGCGTGTAAATAAATAAATAAATAAATAAATAAATAAATAAACCCAAGCATTTCACTAATGGGACTGTCCCCATCCCCACTCCTTCCAAGAGGTCTCCATCCAGCCCAGTGTCCTGGTAGGAAAGGAACAGAAAGAGCTGCTGAAGAAAAAAGCAAAAACAAAACAAAAAACCAAGAAGGGGAACAATAATCAACTAACTGCTGTTTTCAAAAAGGGCTTACTAACCATATCAGAAAGCAAAAAGTAAGAGACAATAGGGCACTTTCCTCAGATTTGTGGGTGCAAGAACACAGCAGTAGCTTCAAACAGCTTCCCATGATAGTAAAGGCAATCCTTAAGATAAATATAGTACTTTGTGTAGTCCAACATAAGCAAACAAAAATAATTAGAAAGTCATCAAGGTCCAGATTATTCAAGAAAGTCAGAAACACAAGGAGATTTTATGTAAGAACTTAAATTTTCTTTGGTGGAAAAAAAATCATGCCAACTTGAAATTAAATTTTTCATTTAAATAAGCCACATAAGTGAACCAAAATAATTACAAAATACTTATACTCAGGAAAAGATGTTTTCAACAAGTACTTTTTTGTTACAGTATTATCCAATGCAAAGTAAACCAGAAAATTATCTGCCCCAAAATTCAGAGTTAGAAAAACATCTCAGAATGATGCATGATTTTTCCTCCTTTGTATTTGATTTTGTATAGATATTTAGATTCAGAGTTGACAGAAGGCCAAAGGTGTCACAGAAAGAGACATGAAAAATTAATACTTCATGACAAACTGAACTGTCAGAATTATAGCATCCCGTAAGAAAGATTTTTTACAGTAAGACTCTCTAGCAAAGGAGGGGAGTTAATTTTAACTGCTTAATAATAACTGAAAGTACATGAAACTATTTCAGGCAGGTTCCCTTCGCTCCAAATATTCCTATATTAAGTGAGCCCTAGAATCCATGCTTACAGAACACTTGGGTGTTTTATATGCTAATAAAGGGGGGAGGAGGTTTTGCAAGACCTACACATTGCATCTCCCACAGGAATTAGCTAATCACCCAGTTAAATACAGTCTTCAGCAACCCCAGTGCCGGTCTGCTTGTTTCTTGGACAAGGGAGGAGGGATTAAAGGAGAAGAGGTGGCATGACAAAAATAAAGTTCCCAGCATTGTCTTAATTTGTTACCTGTGGTGCACCTCTGAAGTCAGAAAGTTTATTAAAACTTATTCTTGAAAGTAAAACATTTTTTATACACAAAAGGAGCATGACATATTTCATATTAATAATATAGTAAACTAGTGAACTGTCCCTTAACTGTGTTTCCAAAATATAACTTTCAACCATATGCTCCTTAAATATCTGGAGGAGCAGTCTAGTTTATTAGAAAGTGTAACAAATATAGGCAATTAAAAAAAAAGCTTGAAAAAAGAGATATTGCAGTGTACAGTGCTATTTCCATTGGAAAGTGGACAAATTCCAAATGAAACTAACAGAAAAATAAAAATCTCCAAGTTGTAAAGACCATTAATGAACATATTTAAGTTAAAAAAAACCAAAACAACAAAGCATGGCATGTTGTATATTTGAAGTTTTATTGATGGGAATGCAAATATAACCATGTCATATCACAAAAACAATTCATAGCATTTCATTAAAAGCAGTTCTCTAAAAACATCTGCAATCATCTATAACAAATACACTGAATATTTGAATCTTTGTATCTAAAATCAAAATATTCCTCTAGAAGCTTATTGTAGATGGTTACTAAAAACCTAACATTGAACTTTACAATAAAAAAAAAAAAACAATTGCAGAAATACCTAAAAATGGCCACCTAAAAATCAGTAGGTATCTCATGCAGCTGTATTTCAGGAAGTGCTGATTATGCTCTCTCAGGAATAACATAAATATTCCCATTTGGTCAAAAGGTGTCCCCCCAAAAATCAGAGGGGTGTCACATAAAACTGAAATGAATGCAGGTGTTTATCATTAACACAAATCTTTTTTTTAAAAATATGCTCTCCGGTCACAAGATTCAATTTAATTCATCAATGTGCATACCTGAGGTTCCAGTTTTCCTGGAAGAGATACTAAAAGGAAACAAGTCAACACAGTATATTTTAGCTGAACTGTTCATTTTCTTAAAATCATTCTTCCTTTCCAAGGAACTTGTACACCTACTGACAAAGTTTGTAAAAGAATGCCATACATCTCTTAATCTCTCATGTCTTCATTGCTTGGATCTGATCTGTTAATAAAAAAGAAACAGCTAGTTTTAACACAAGATGAATTCTTGCTGTAGTTTGCTTTTTGAAAACAAAACCCAGTATTGTCCAGGTTACAGAGCAGATATTTTGGTGCAGTTACAAGAATGGGGGACAATGCAGTTAGAGTGGTTTTCAGCTTATTCTCATCCACTTCTGAAATCCCTCCCCACAGTCAAGTTGGTTCCCCCCAGTGTTACTAATCAAACAGGAAGACTCTTCCACATAATTCAATTTTTATAAGGTAACTTTGATGAGAATAAATCCTGGAAGTTTACTTTATGAAGTATGCACTTCAATTCCTTGTACACGTTTCAGCTTCCACATAACTGAACGTGAACTAACTCCCCAGCAGCAATGGATTTAAAGTTTGCTCTTGAATAACTCACATGAAAACTTATTTGCTCTCAGTAACCACACTTCTCCATACTCTCTGCCTGATTGTCACTTCTCAATTCACTTCAAACATTTCCTTAGTTAGCATAAGTGTACTGCATCCCCAGTACAAAATGTGGAAATCGGCACAATTTCCCCCACTAATAAGGAACATGAGCTGGGTTTAGACTGTTGTAAGACAGGTTAGTTTTACCCTACTGATGATGTGTTGTTGCAATAGTAACCCCATTACAAAATAGGGAAATATGCAAACTCAGCCTTCACTAGGGCAAAACCTTCTACACCTGCCACCCCAAACCTGTGAACTACCTGTAATGGGTCTGCAAAAGGTAACTAAGGAAAGCATGGCTGTTGACAAGGAGCATTCATTAACCAGGTGTCATTTCCTCCACTGAATTTTATGATATTCATAGGGTCCGATTTAGGGACCACTATAACTTAAGAGCTGTTCAAAATATTTCTGTGTAGTGCTCTAGGAATGAGGAGGAGAATTATAGTGAAAATTTGTTCTTGAAATATCAGTCTTCATCCATTAGAAGTGTAACTGCCAAACTGCACATGCTTAGGCAACAATACAGTTTAAATCGAACCCCTCTTAAGCTTTTGGGGACACTGAGCCAGGGAGTTAAAGGAAATGCTTTTAGATAAAGCCCATCCATGAAGAATTTCAGCTCAGAAAATTAAGAATTTTAACAAGCCATGAGAAGTGAGTATCTATGAAGAGCTATGAGTGACAGCAGAAGCACCTGCTTACTGTGCTTAAAAGTCTACATATGCAACTTAAAATATTTTGTCACAAAATATTTAGACAAACATTTGAGATCCTTTTAAGTAGCTTGAAGCTACATACACAATCATCAACTCAAAATTTGGATTGAGACTTAGAAGGTTCCTCAAAGATAAGCAGAGACCCCGAAAATCACAGGAAAATGCTACAAAATCAGAACTATGCCTGAAATTAGGAAAAAGTACATGATTTGGAATCTGCCCCCATGAGACTAGGATACAGCAGTGAAGGAAACTCAGTAGTAAGATGCTGGTTCCCCACCACAGAACTCGGGGGGGAGAACCCTTAGATGGTGGAAGATGCATCACTGTTCTGTTCAGACAGTAAATCTCTCTGTAAAGACTATTTTGGCTAGTACCCCTTCCTCTGAAAACATGACCAAATGTTTTTGTGTTCTGTAATAACACAGTAAAATAAACCACCTCTTTCTGATTAGGATTCTAGGTAGAAAGGACAGTCTGGTATCCATAGATAAATGGAGATATGTTAAATCAGGGACAATGCTGGGCATTATTTAGCTGCATTTTGAAGGAAATGAGTTTAGTGGCACTGACTCTGGGGCATCGCTGACATCTAGCGGCTGCCACAGCACAGAACACGCCTGTACCGAGACCGCGTCTTGTGGATTCAGATTACACTATGCCACCTAATACACTCACAATGTAAGCAATGTAAATTAGGGACCTAAAATTAGAATGAGTCTACCAAAACAATACCATACGTCACTATTCTATACATCTAGCAGTACACGGGAGGACAAAAGAGACCCGATCTTTACCAACATACAACAGCAGGATATACAGCATCCATACCAAGTTTGTAATTAAAAACGTGCATGCAATACATTATCTAAGCTGGATCTGATACTTTCTATGTAGTTATGTGTGTCTGCATATGTTGTGATCATTATAATGTAAGCTGTTCTTATTTTGGCTCTAGATTAAGTAGCTGAAGTTGAATAATCAAAACTAGTGTATTTGTCTGCGTACTTTGCTTATTTGCCATTTCCTGATACATAACATTAAGTTATGCAAAAGTGGGACAGGACAGTAAGAATAAATTGAAGAACAAACTGAAACACCACAATAATAAATTGAAGCACAAGAGCTGTTATTATTATTGTTTCCAAGAAAGTGTTACACTGTTTGCAAGAGTATGCATTAATATTTCATAGTATACACTTTTGTCAGAGAAACTGACATGATCTTTTGTGTATGTTAAGGAGGTAAATGAAAGGCAAAAATGAGATAGAGCACAGTACTCACTGTGTAATTTGATCTGACAGCAGAAATGGACAGAAAGAAAACAAAGGAAATAATAAAGAAAAAACCGTACAAAATTAAAAAGTTTAACAGAATGAAAATAGAGCAAGAAAAGTTTAACAGAATGAAAATAGAGCAAGAAAATTACATATGACATACCTTGGAGCCAATCCACACCTTCTTGTAATCCTTCTCCTTTCAGGGCATCACTGGCACTGAAAGAAACAAATCAAATTGCCAAAACATTGTAAGAATATCAGTTTTGGTGGAGTCATCACTGTACTTGTAATTTACAGAACTGCAAAGTACCATCAAGTACAGTTTACTTAAGTTTTCTTCACACGGAGAAGGCTGCTTCTCAAATTATGTATCTTAGAGTACCTTCCCAATATGGAAACACCATTTCAAGATGTGATCTATTAATTCCAGTTTCAAGCCAGAAGAATCATTCCTAGAATGTGAGGGGTTCTGGAAGACCTGCCACACAAGGCAGCCACGTTGTTCTGTGGCACCTCCACTTAGATAACTCCCTCCTCAGACTATACTATAAAAGATGTTTACTACCTACAACAGCAGTGAATCACAGAATGATTTAGGTTGGACAAGACTTCGAAGATCATCGAGTCCAACTGTCCTCCCACGCAGTTCCTATATACAGCAAGAATGCTGGAGTACTGGAGGAAGAAGGTATAGCGCATACACACTTCATTGTAACAGCAACCCTAGGAGTGCCTGTTAATATATATTAAGCTACACTGAGGACAGTGTAAATCTACCTTTTGAATCACAGGGGTATAACTGTTTAAAGGTCCTTAATTCTTCAGCTTATGAAAGCTAGCACAGCAGTGAATCTGGACTGTTACCGTGGTTAGCTATAAAATTATCTTCCAAGGAGCTTAGGAATTTGTCAGTGTAATTTCCGAGACAAAAAGCAGTGACCCCAAAACAAAATCCAAGTAATCAAGGTTAATATTAAGGGCCTAAAATGAAAATTGTAGTTTTCAGCAGCATTTAGCTGCGGATTCATTTTATTTATAATATTCGAGGACTTTAATGGGACAAAAATATAACTTCTGTAAGACACTTCTTATAAAAGGAGGCTTTTTCTTTGTGAACAGTGGCACAAAATCCTTCTATTTATACGAAAGCTTACACCCTTCAGAAAGAAAAGGCACTAGCTCCTACAACAAAAAATCCCCTGAAACATTACACAATACAAAGAATACAGTGTCCCTCCGAATTCACATGAGAACAGTTTACTAAATGGCCTTTCAACAGTAGTTTACAAAATCATCTGCAGAGCGGAAAAAACCAACTCTAAAGGTTTTATTGTTGATATTCTAAAACCTCCAGGACAAACTAGCAGCAGGACTCTGATAACAATTCTACTCAATTTCCCAGCAAAAAATAATAGCAGCTATTCTTCTGATAAGAACACTGCTTTCTGATTTCACTAGAAGTCCTCCATTTCATTATTTGGGTAATAGTTCTATTGCGTGTGAAAATTTTCAAGAGGCAGTCTACATGAATACATCGTGCATAAAACAAGTTTCATAGCAAGTACTAGTAGTACTTGCAGTAATATTACTACTGTTCCCACATGTGGCAGCATAGCATTTTACCTAGTTGATTTAAGTTATGTTATATAATACTGAGTGGCATGATAGAGCTAAAATATGAATGGACAAAGTAATACCAATAAAAGGGTAGAAAAAGGGCCATTTACCAGATATGCCAGGGCTTGTCTTTGATATTTTCTAATGACAGTAACTGAGATACTTTCACAGATGATATCGCGTCCCTGAGGTCCATCTTGTTAGCAAAGAAGAGAATAGGCAGTCGACGGTGCTTAATATCTAGGAATAAGCAGAAATAGAACTATCATGACATTGTGCAACACTTATCAATCTCTACATGTAATAAGCTACAAACAATACAGGAAGATATTTTGCTCACCTGTAACTGCAATTCTCTGAAGGTTGTATCCTACCAAGACGCACACCGTTGGGTCACATGGCCTCTGATGCATGCTTCAAGAATGCTCACAAACTTTCTGGCAGGCTTTGGGATCTTCCACCCCCTCACCCCCTACCTTATATGTACATTTAAAGCTGTACGTATAAATTCCTGGTGAAGCTGAGGAACAGGAGATCAAACTACTGCCTACAAATACTACACATCTCTGCTTAGCGAGGACTGGGTGTGTAAAATGGTCACAAAAATTATTTGTGTTCATTCATAATCTCACAACAATAGCTGCATAAGGGTAGTCTGAATTATCCTTTAGCATCCTGGGGAGCATCCATGACTTCATAAAATTCATAAAGTAAGAAAAAAAATGCACATGTCTGGACACCTTCACTTGAAGGACTTCTTTTCCAGAAGCTCTTCTCAGCTAGCAGTGAGAACTACAGACCAAACCAAGTATTCTGGCAATTTCTGGCATACGTACAGATTCAAATGCATAAGCCTCGCTGATTACAACAAAAGACTAGAGAGTCACTGAAAGGAAACAAAGTATACTTTCTTCAACTGGACAGATGTAAAACTGCCAAAGAATTACCAGCACCAAGACTAACTGTAAGTATTTTTCACATTATTGAAACAAAGGATGAATGACAGGATTAGAGAAAATATAGATTTGAGCCTATCAATCAATTCTTGACAGGAAAAGAACTTAACACCCTCTACCCCCCAAGATGAAAATTGCTACACAGGCTCTTTGTAAAATAGTAAAAAGAAAAGGTTATTTCACATAGGGAACAAGCTAAGGATTTATTTAAAAACTTCAAACATAAACCATCTCCCCCTGCTGGGGGGGGGAGGAGAGGGAGCGGAACAAAAAAACCCCAAAAACCCCCAACAAACTGTCAATGCTGAAGTGGTTTGAACCTCCTAATTATGTTCTTTTCAAACCCCCTACTGAATCTTTCCACAAAATCAGTGGAAATAACACTGTCTACCCATGCTCAGAAAAGAGTGCTCACCAAAACGCTGACAATTTTCACAACTATTTACCCTATCTGGAGCTATTTTTCCTCTGATATCCTCTAACACAAATCAAAGGCCTCAAAATACAAGCACAAAGTATCATTAAATCTCTGATTTGATTCCATAGTTGAAGAGCTTTTTTGTCTCCCGATTGAAACTTCTACATTAATCTATAGTATAATTAAATGAACACTGGCACCCACAGGTTGTGGGTTATGGATAAATTAAAACCACAGAAATTAGCTGACATCACATATACAAATAGACAAGTTAATAAAGGAATTTTCAGGTTTTTTTAAAGCAATTAAAAAGGGGCACAACCTACCCACATAAGACTCATAAATGTACACTTAAAGATGTTTGCTAAATCAAGTGGTGGTTGCAGAAATTTACATTATTTCCTACCTTATGACATTGTTTCCTACTATGCAGTATTCCCCCAACACCCTTTTTACAGTTATTAATGTAAAGCTAACATTTTCTAGTTGCAAGTAGTTATGAGTTAACACATTAAAAAAAAATCCCAGATACTAGATGTGTGATGTGTAATTTTATACAAAGAATTTCAAGTTTACAGGAATTTCAATTTATTTTAGAAGCATGTGCTGGAGGTCAAGTGATCCAAGAGTCAATATTGAAACCAAGTAATCTACAGACTACCATCCTGCAAAATGCTGAAGAATGAATTTTGATTAAAAAAAAAAAAAAGATAACTGATCATTGAACAAGCTGGTATTTGTAGAGTGCATTGCCCATTTATGTAAGTAAAAATGATTCATAGTTCTGATTCACAGAACAGTCCCAGCTAGTACAACTTCTAATCCCATTAATGCTTCACAGTATACATTCCCTTTCACCTGACAACCTCAGGCAAAGTCTGGCAAAAGAGAGGGAACTCTTTTACTGAAGGATTGCCAAGATCAGACAGGAATTGATTCAAGGTTGTTACCCTGCATCCATTTAAACCTTAAGTAAACACGTAAATTTAAACCACTCCAGGAGGTTCACAGAGGCAGAAGCATAGATGGGGAGAAAGCAGGGTATGCAGGAAGAAAAGCAGAACAGTAATACAAGTAAAAATGTTGATATAGTAAAACAGTTATAAATTGATTCTATAACGGCTACTTTTAGCAAACATTACTACTAGAAGAACTTTTTATTCTCTTTGGTTCTCTTAGATGTGACCTATCAAAATCCAAAACAATAAAGTGGGAACACTGTTGCTGCAT